GGCTGCAGTAGCCCTGGGACGTCTTTAGGAATGAGGTAGAATTTGCGCTGTCCTTGAGAGCTGGTTAACATTTGGAAAAGCAGAGGACTGAGAGGGAATGCTGTTTTAGATGAATAAACCATGTGAGGAGGCAAAATCCATCATAGCCTGTTTGTGCTTACGCAGAGCAGAATGGCCTTATTTGAGCAAATCGAGTATGTGGCAATAGTGCGAAATGAGATGAAATAGATGAGGTGGGATTCAATTATGCATGATTTTCAAAGGCCAGCAGAATGCTTCACCTTGATGTGGTAGGTAATTGAGAGTCAAGGCTTTTGATCAGATGAGTTAGAAAATGAAAAGATGTCTAAGAGAGAGGTGTTGGCATTGTATTGCTGATGGATTTTAATAAGAGGAGAGGTTGGAGGAGGGGGTAGAAAGTTGGGAATGGGAAGTGTTTCAGTAAAATACCATAATTACAGAAAGGTGGGAACAGAGAGGAAGGAGTTAATATTAAAAATTTCAAAGGAAAATTTGATAGAGCTCGAACACTCAGTACAGAGGAAGGGTAAATCAAGGATGGGCAGTTTTTGAGTTTCTGCTTTTTGTCCTGATGTGTAGAAAGAATGTTCTTTATTAGTGAAAATATCATAAATCTGTTGGAATATAATCTCCATGAATGTGAAAAGAGGGAAGACCTAGTGCCATGATCAGGGGTATCCCCAGCACCTGGCATAGTGGCTGGTATATAGAAGTGCTCAAGAAATATTTGTTGAAGGGATGAAAGAATGCATTTAACATGCCAATCTTCAGGTAAATTTTATTTATTTTTTTAAAATTTTTTTGAAGATTTTATCTATTTGACAGAGAGAGACACAGTGAGAGAGGGAACACAAGCAGGGGGAGCGGGAAAGGGAGAAGCAGGCTTCCCGTGGAGCAGGGAACCCGATGTGGGGCTCCATCCCAGGACCCTGGGATCATGACCTGAGCCAAAGGCAGACGCTTAATGACTGAGCCACCCAGGAGCCCCAATCTTTAGGTAAATTTTAGTTGCCATCTGTAAAATTTTTTTTTTTAGTAGGCTCCATGCCCATCTGAGAGCCCCATGTGGGGCTTGAACTCACAACCCTGAGATCAAGAGCTGAGATCAAGAGTTGGACACTTAACTGACTGAGCCACCCGGGCATACCTGCCATCTATAAATTTAGAACATGCCAATTTTCACTACCAAATAGTGACTTTTAAAGTAGTACTTGTTGGGACACCTGGGTGGCTCAGTTGGTTAAGCGGCTGCCTTCGGCTCAGGTTATGATCCCAGGATCTTGGGATCGAGCCCCGTGTCGGGCTCCCTGCTCAGCGGAGAGCCTGCTTCTCCCTCTGCCTCTGCCTGCCGTTCTGCCTACTTGTGCTCTCTCTCTTTTTGTCAAATAAATAAATAAATAAATCTTTAAAAAAAAATAAAGTAGTGCTTGTTAACATTTTCTAGTAGCAAAAATTGTTTATATTTGTTGTAGAAAATTGGGAAAATATGCAAAAGTACAAAAACACAAAGTTATAATTACGTTTACTTCAGAGATGACTGCTGTTGGTGTGTAGATCCTTGTTTTTTTTTTCCAGTGTGAATACATATTTATTTGTAAAATGAGGTCATATAATAATGCTGATTTATACCTGCATAATATCATTTTTCAAAGTAAAATGGAACAGTCTGAACCTCCAAATAATGACAGTAGTGGATTATAACATGTAGAATATTGTAGGAATCCATGAGACCATGCTGATGTGAATCAGAAGGGAGTTTTTCCTTAAAGTAGAATACAGAGTAATGGAGAAGGATTGCTAGAAATAGAAACATCACCATGTAGCAACCACTATAGCAACACAACACAAGAATCATGAATGGCTGCTAAAACCAATAGGTAAAAGTTTGATGAGAAACAGAATGTTTGCATAGTCTCAATATATCTTCTCACAAAATACTTATCAATTACAAAGGGAATGATAATAACCTGCAGACACCACCTCCTCCAAGTGATGGTAGTTAACATCACCAGTAATGTGACAAATTAACATCATCTCCCTTCTGTGATGCCCTGTGAGGGATACAGTATCATTTCTGCAGCATTCCTGCCCAGAATGCAAAACCTGAAATTAATCACGAGATAACAGCATACAAACCAAATTGAGGGATAGTCTACAAATTAAATGACTTGTTTTTGTTTTTGTTTTTTTCAATGCTGAGGCCATGAAAGATAAAAAAGGATTGAGGAACTCTTCCAGACTAAAGACTAGGGAGACATGACCACCAAATGCAACATTTGATCCTGGGGGAAGAAAAAGATTTTTCTTTTCTATAAAAGATGGTAATGGGACGAATGGTGAAATAAGGTTGACAGAGTAGATAATAGCACTGTGTTAGTGTTAATGTCCTGATCTTGACAGTACACCATGGTTATGGAAGAGAATGATCTTGTTTTTAGGAAATTCATACTAAGGTGCTTAGGGTTACATAAAGGGCCATCATGTCTACAACTTACTCTTAAATGGTTTAAAAATACAGAGAGTAGGGAGAGGAAAGGAATGATAATGCAAGTGTGGTATAATGTTAACATTTGAGGGATTTGGTTAAAGAATAGATATGACTCCTTTGTACTATTTTTGCAATGTTTCTGTAAGTCTGATACTTTCTCAAATAAGTTTAAAAAAAGTGGAACTAGAGCTGCTGGATTGGTCACCAGTGAATCAGTGAATATTTTAATTAATTTATATAGTATTTGTGTATGTACTGCTTGCTGACTTTAGGGGCTATCATTCCTTCTCTGTATTATTGTCTTAATATTTTTTTATTTTACTTTTTATCAGATTTTATTTATTTGAGAGAGAGGGTGAGTGAGAGAGAGAGGGGGAGAGAGCACAAGCAGAGGGAGCGGCAGGCAGAGGGAGAGGGAGAAGTAGGCTCCCCGCTAAACAGGGAGCCCAATTCGAGATCGATCCCAGGACCCTGGGATCATGACCTGAGCCAAAGGCTGACACCTAACAGACTGAGCCACCCAGGCGCCCCACATCTTAGTGTTTTTTTAAAGTATGTCATAGGAAGAAGATAGAACACTGGCTTAGCCATCAGAAGATGGGTTATTCTCTTAAGTCTGAAACTCATTTTTTAGTGAGACCTTGAGAAATTGCTGTTTCTGGGTCCCAGGTATTTCATCTGAAAATTTTTGCGTGGGGGCTGGATATGCTGACATTGATAACTGGATTCTAGCAGTTCTGTGATGATGGGCTCTGGATTCACTGACATGGTTGGAACTCAGAGAAGTGTTATCTTATAGTCAGCTACTTGAAAAAGGCCCAAGCCTTCTCACACAAGTAAACTGAAAAGATCCTCAGAAATTGGAGCTAGAAGATACCTGTCAGACCATCTACTCTGAGCCTCCACTAGTGACACGCGACTTGTTTGCAGCACACCCTCTAAGTTGTTTTACCAGTACTCTTTTTTCCGGCCATTCATTATTTTTCTGGAGACTTGACTTGTGTTTTTAGTCACCCTTTCTTTTAGTCATTTAAAAAAAGGAATGTGACTTTTCTTCACTTAAAAATTTTCCAGTTCTTTCATGTTTAGGCTTTACCTTTGGAAACCAATTTACTATTATGGCAGAGATTAATAGGCAGGTGGATTGTTTTCCTCTAGAATCACAAAAGGATTTAGTTGATGCAGTTGACTGTATATGATCAGAAAGTGATGGGAATAGAAATGAAATTTACAAATGAAAATGAAGATTTTTAAGTTTGTGCATTAAAAATCTTGCTAGGTTAGAAAATATAACAGGAAAGTTACTTTTGTTCTTACTAAGCTTTTCCATGTGATACCTTAAAAAAGAAAGAATATAAGGATGTCCAAAGCAGACACACTGATCTTCTATTGGTGAGGATGTAAATTATTCTCTTTTAGAGGTGATTTAAAAATATTTATTAAAAATAAAGACGATTATGCATGCTAACTTGAGTTCGCTTCTAGGAATTTATCCTGTAGAAATATTCATTGCAGCATTGTTTATAAAGCTGAAAACTTGAACAGTGCTCATTGTTAGGAGACTGCATTAATAAATTAGGACATGTCTTATGATGGATTCTTATACAACTGTCAAAGAATTATGTAAGAGGTTTCTTACATTAATATAAAATGGATTTCCTGTTGCTATTTTTAAAAATTGTGATAAAATATATAAGACGTGTGATTTAACATTTTAACCATTTTTTTTTAAAGATTTTATTTATTTATTTGAGAGAGAGAGAATGAGAGATAGAGAGCACGAGAGGGAAGAGGGTCAGAGGGAGAAGCAGACTCCCTGCTGAGCAGGGAGCCCGATGCGGGACTCGATCCTGGGACTCCAGGATCATGACCTGAGCCGAAGGCAGTCGCTTAACCAACTGAGCCACCCAGGCGCCCCATTTTAACCATTTTTGAGAGTACAGTTAAAGGGCATTAAATACATTCACAGTGTTGTGTAATCATCAGCACTTTTTCTCTCTAAAACTCTTTCATCATCCCCAATTAAAACTCTGTGTAGGTTACATAGTAACTGTCCCTTCATCCCTCCCAGGAAATTTTTACGTATGGACATGGAATACTGCCCAAGTACATAATTTAAATGATAAGGGAAGATTGTAAAATAGTATGAATGCTGTGATTCTGCTAGTAAACTGTGTGGTGAATTATTATAATAATATAAGTAAAGAAAAAATCTGGGAGGCTACATATGCTAAACTGGTAAAGAGGGATTGGGGGAAGATTGTTACTTTTATATTATTATTTTGGTAATTTTTTTGTTTTAAACAATGGGCATGTGTAACTTTTCTAAGCAGAAAAAGAGATATACTTTAAGCATTGTACTAAAACTGGGTGATTTGGATGCCTCTGATTTTGGCTAATGAATAACAGACTCTGCTGTGTGGTTGCTGTATTTGAGCTTATGTAGGACCTAAACACTTTATTATTAAAATAATGATGTTTGTTTTCACAGCTAGAGTTGGGAAGACATCACTGATTATGTCTCTGGTCAGTGAAGAATTCCCAGAAGAGGTAAACATTTTTATGTCTTGTCTATGTTTAAAATCTTTTAAGGTTATCAAAATTGAGTTAAAGTGAAATAAATTCTGCACTTTTTTGGCATGTGTTTTCTTTCTGACAGATGTGGCTTTAAAAGGGCTCATATTAGTTTACGCAAGACATCCCTGAAACGTAGTGCAGGAGCAAGAATCAAACTAGATCTGAGTTCACCTAAGTCCTTTGCTTTTCCTCCTTTCGATCTTGGCTAGGACATTTGTCATCTCTGTGCCTTAGTTGTCTCATCTGTAAAATGGGAGCTGAAAGGGATATTAGATATCATCTAAGCTGTTAATCCTTTCCTAAAAATAAAATGTTATTCATAACCCCAAAATATAAAACAGGTGAGTATTCCTTTAGTTGAAATAAGGGCTTGAAACATCTGGCTGGCTCCCCACCTGCCTTCCATCTGACACTCCCCAGTCTTTGAGGCATTAGAACCGCTAGGATTCTGACACACATATTTGAGAACCTTTAATATTATCCATTGCATCATTTTACAAATGAAACTAATTTATACCACCTCTGCCTACCTCAGAGGGTTGTTATGTGTCTCAAATGAGGTAGGCTTAATAATAGTAGAGTACCACCAAAAGTAAGGTGGTTTTGTGATTACTGGCAATATATTTGTGTTCCAGAATGAGGGACTGTTGGCTGAGGCCTTATTTAAAGTTGGAATTTTGTTTTGGGGAATGGGGTTGATGCAGATGGGATGAACACTATTTATTCTCTTCACATAGTTGGTGTATTAGCCCCACAGTTTGCATTCCCCCTTTCTTTACTCTTGTTTAGTTAAGAATATGTGTATAATTCCATTGTTCAGACAGGAATTTGGTATATTATATGGTAGTGTTTGCAGCAATTACAAGTGCCACATAATCATTCAGTTTCTTTTGCTTTTTGTTCCTCTTAAATAAGATACTGAAATAAGTAATTACTTAATTTGCGAAATAAAGTATATCATCATATGATCACTTGGAGTATAATACCTAAAGGCTTTCTGTGATCATTTAACTGAGTTTAGAATTGTCATTTTAGGGCGCCTGGGTGGCTCAGTCGGTTAAGCGACTGCCTTCGGCTCAGGTCATGATCCTGGAGTCCCGGGATCGAGTCCCGCATCGGGCTCCCTGCTCGGCGGGGAGTCTGCTTCTCCCTCTGACCCTCTTCCCTCTCGTGCTCTCTGGCTCTCATTCTCTCTCTCTCTCAAATAAATAAATAAAATCTTAAAAAAAAAAAAAAAATTGTCATTTTAGCATAGTCCTCTTGGGTATGGATAAGAGGTTTTTAATTGGTTTAAAAAAATCATAGAGTCTTTCTAAAAACTGGAATCATTAAATACAAGGCTTATGTAGCCAATCAGTATCTTCTAGAAGAAATTAATTTTGATAATATATTGTTTTATTTGAGAATTGCTTTGGATTAACATAGCTCCTCATTTGTAGCGTGTCTTAAGCATCAACAAAATGGAATGAAACAGCATTTTAAAAATCAAATGTTTGAAACACTGAATTAATTTAAGTATTGTTTTAGGCTGTGTTACATCTGAAGTATCCTTAATATGTTCTGTGCTCACACAAGTAGAAATGTGCATGCTTTTTTAAAAGAAGTGTTTATTGGGGCACCTGGATAACTCAGTTGGTTGAGCATCCAACTTTTTTTTTAGATTTTTTTTTTTTTTTTTATTTGACAGAGAGAGACACAGCGAGAGCAGGAACACAAGCAGGGGGAGCGGGAGAGGGAGAAGCAGGCTTCCCGCAGAGCAGAGAGCCCGATGTGGGACTCGATCCCAGGACCCTGGGATCATGACCTGAGCCGAAGGCAGACGCTTAACGACTGAGCCACCCAGGCGCCCGAGCATCCAACTCTTGATCTCAGTTCAGGTCTTGATCTCAGGGTCATGGATTCAAGCACAAAAATAAGCATTTAAAAGTGTAATAAATCTTGAAAGGATAGGTATGGGTGGAAGGGGCTAATATATAGATGAATTTACATGATCTGTTAACAAGTTTGATTGATAATATCCAAAGGTTTTTTTTTCCTTTTCTTTTCTATATTTGTTTGCAAATGAAGGTTCCTCCCCGGGCAGAAGAAATTACCATTCCAGCTGATGTCACCCCTGAGAGAGTTCCAACACACATCGTAGATTACTCAGGTAATGAATTATCCTCTTGTGGGTGAAGCTGCAGGGTTAATTTAATAGCTCAAAAAAGGTGTACATCCTGAGCTTTAAAAAGTGTTCCAGGATAAATGTTCCTTTTTCTCTAGCAATAAATAATCATTTACTATTCTTGTCTCATTTATATCTCCTTGCCAACCCCCACCCCACATGCCATATAAAGCCTCCGTCTTGTAGTTCTGTGTCCCAGATTTACTAAGTTGGGTTCCACAATAATGAAAAGGAAGGAGTGATGGTAAATGACAAGTAGTAGAGAAATCATTATCCTCCTTGACTTGGCATGTTTGCAGAGTTAAGTTCTGGATTAATTTTGTTATCAGGCATTGAGGAATTCTGAATTTGAGAATTTGTTGAGTTCTAAATTTATTCTTTAATTTATCAGCCTTTGTCCCCTCCCCCAAATAATAGTTAAAATAGTCATCAGCTTGCTTACGTTATATGATAATAGAAGCACATTTGTATTGCTTTTAATAATTTAAAATTTTTCTACCCACTAGTACTTGCTTTTTTTTTCTTTCAGAGATTTTATTTATTTATTTGACAGAGGGAGAGAGAAAGAGAGAGTGGCAGGCAGAGGGAGAAGCAGGCTCCCTGCTGAGGAGAGAGCCCAATGTTGGGCTTGATCCCAGGACTCTGGGATCATGACCTGAGCCAAAGGCAGATGCTTAACTGACTGAACCACCCAGGCGCCCCTAGGACTTACTTTTTATTTTTATTTATTTATTTTTTTAAGATTTTATTTATTTGAGAGAGACAGAGATATTGACAGAGAACACGAGTGGGGAGGAGAGGGAGGAACAGGCTTCCCGCTAAGCAGGGAGCCTGATGTGGGACTCGATCCCAGGACCCTGGGATCGTGACCTGAGCTGAAGGCAGACGCTTAACCAACTGAGCCACCCAGGTGCCTTAGGACTTAACTTTTTAATCACGAAATTATTTTGCTCTGTTCTGGGACTTCTTTTAAAAAAAAAAAAAAAAAGGGAGGGGTGCCTGGCTGGCTCAGTGGTAGAGAGTGTGACTGTTGATCTTGGGGTTGTGAGTTCGAGCCCCACGTTGGGAGTCAGTTGTAACAGATGTACCGCTCTGATGGGGTATGTTCATAATGTGGGAAGCTGTGTGGGGGCAGGAAGTATATGGGAAATCGCTGTGCCTTCCACTCAGTTTTGCGGTGCATTTAAAACTGCTCTAAAAAATAAAATCTGTTTGTAAGAATGGCATAACTACGTTGGTAATACTTTGTTTTCCTAAGCTGGTATCCCACCTAGTCTAAAGGTGAAATACTAAGGACTGTGCAGTCCAATACGTACGACTGTTGAACACTTAAAACCTGGCTAGTCTAAGCTGAAATGTGCTGTAAGTATAAAATACAGGTAGAATTAGAAGACTTGGTGTGAGAAAAAGCATATAAATCTCATTAATAATTCTCTTGTTGAGGACATGTTGAAACTTTAATATTTCTGATATCTTGGGTTAAATAAAAATGTACTTTTACCTGTTCCTTTTTACTTGTGTGGGGGGGAGATGGGCACAGAGAAGCAGGGGGAGAGAATCTTAAGCAGGCTCCATGCCCAGTGCAGAACCTGACATGGGGCTCGATCCCACAACCCTGAGATCATGACCTGAGCCGAAATCAAGAGTCGGATGCTTGAGCCACCCACGCACCCCATCCTTTTGACTTTTTTAATGGGACTACTGGAACATTAAAAATGACATACACAGCTTGCTCATCCAGCTGCCAAACAGCACTATACCAGAAGCTGAGGGGGTTGGATGCTTTCTGCTGCAATCAGCCTTATAACCTGCTTCATTTACAAAATTATTCTTTTTCAGCATTGGAATTGAAGCCATTACCCATTGATTACTCAACATATGAAGAGATATTTAAAATATGGCCAGTTATTTAGCATAAATTAAAATACCATTGTACTCATTTATGGTATTAGTTTGCATGTCAGAAATAACAGGCATTTTGGGGGGGAGAATATTTAATATAATGTGATCTAAATTAATGTCAGTTATTGCTTTTCTCTTCATTTGTATGCTTTTTTTTTTTTTTAAAAAGATTTATTTATTTATTTGAGAGAGAGAGAGAGCACAAGCCAGAGGGGCAGAAGGAGAGGGAGAGAATCTCAAGCAGACTCCTCGCTGAGTGTGGAGCCCGACTTAGGGCTCGATCTCCTGACCCTGAGATCATGACCTGAGCTGAAATCAAAAGTTGGATGCTTAACTGACTCTGCCACCCAGGCACTCCATTCATTTGTATGCTTTTTCATCATACCTATGATCATGCATAACTCCTGCACTGTGGGGTTATATGCACATCCACCATTTGAGACCCATTCCAGCCAGAGATATGTGCTAGAAAGGAAATTCTGGACTCTTCACTCTCATGCTTCGGTTCTGCTTCTGGGGCCTGCTCTCTTAAGACACAAGCTCTTAAGCTTATATTGCCCAGATTCTCACCTGGCCTTCTGACCCTGTGTGTATGGACTCTTTGGGCTTCTGACTGCAGCACCTAGTCTTCTAGCTTGGGTTTCTGATGTCTTTGGTCTGACCCTTCTCAACTCTGGATCAGATGCTGGACTAGATTTATCACACAATGCCATCTGCTCTTCGTGCAGTTATCCTGTGGTAGACTTGTCTTTCAGTGCCAGCCAGCTTCCTTATCATAGTCCAGCTTTTTCCTTTCCCTGGCTTGCCCTTGCCTTTGCCACCTCATCTGGCACTACACTACATAAATGACATGAGGGATGAGGGATGTTGGATGCGTGCCATGTAGATGTTAGCTTGGCCATTGGTTTTTATGAAAATGTATAAAATAATGAACATTTTTTGACTTTGTCATTTGTAGAAGCAGAACAGAGTGATGAACAGCTTCATCAAGAGATATCACAGGTGAGTTAAAAAAACAGCTGTAGGGTTTTTTGTGGGAAAACAGTGATGATTTTGTGAGTCTTAGGTCTTAAGTCTTTGTTGTTAACTTCTGGCTTTGAGTATGTATTTTTGCAGTAAGTCCTTAGGAACTTTTTCCTGTTAAAGGCATGCTAAATTTGGGGTTTTTTTTTAGGTTTCAAATTTTATTCTTCCTTTGGAAGAATATGTTAACATATTAACAAATATGTTAACTAGCTGGCAACTAAATGCTACCGTTTACATTTGTATTGTTTAAAAATACCATTAATTTCTTAATTTTCTCTTGTAGGCTAATGTCATCTGCATAGTTTATGCTGTTAACAATAAGCATTCTATTGATAAGGTATGAACGTGTGACTTTTTTCACTATATCTAGTTAAATTTCAATGGGGGCACTTTTAAAATTGATCCTTAATTTAGAGTTTTCAGAGAAGATCCTCATTGTGGCTTAGCCCTTGTTAATTTTCTTTTTAGGTAACAAGTCGATGGATTCCTCTTATAAATGAAAGAACAGACAAAGACAGCAGGTATTTTTTTTTCCTCTGAAACTTTGTATATTGAAAAATTTCAAACTTAGAGGAAAGTTGCGAGAAAGAGTACAATGAACACCTGTAAACCCTTCACTTACATCCACTAGTTGACACTTGCCACATTTGCTTTACCTAGAGGTCTTTCTCTGTTTATACACACACACTGGTTTTGGAAGGAAAATTATTTGAGACAGCACATATATTTGTGAGCAAAGCAGAAAACAGTGTTCTGGTACTATAATGATTTACAACTTCTGACATGAAATATTTTGATCATTGATCTTACATTATTTCTCTTTCTCAAACCACTGCTTAAGAAGTCTCTCTGCTTTAGAATTCCTCTCCATCTGTATCGTATGTGCCTTCCCTGTGGAGGTGCCTCTTGGGTGAGGAAAGGCTTCCCCTTGTCCCTATTGCTTACGGCTGGTGTGTGTGACAGCATGGGGCTGGGAGGGGAACGAGTGCCCCCTGAGATCCGGCTTACCCACAGGAGCCTGCCTTCCTCGTCTGTAGTGGAGACGAGGCTAATGCCTGTCTCGGCTGCATGTGGGAATTTTGAGAATCCAGTGAAATAATGCACTTGTACTGCTTTATAAGTTCTCTCAAGATGGCTAGAGATCTTTATTTAGGAGTGCATAGAGGGAGATTCCTTCGAAATTCTTTGGAAGATACATGTGTGATGGGAAGAAGTAAGAGAACACACCTTCTGTATTTTTCTGAGCAGAATGATAGTTCTGGGTATAAGTGTTTTCAGTTTTAAGTCAAAATGGAAACCAGAAATTTTTCTTGGCAGTATTATTTAATGGAACATGTTCTTTATGAGGTATTTTTAAACGTTAGGGAAATCAGACTAATATCTGTGTATTGTACACATGTGGTCCTTTGTTTAATTTTTTAGATATCTCTTTTGGACATTTTTGTGCCTTGAAACTGTAAAGATTTGGTTCTAAACAGATGAACGTAGTCATAGAGCCTGCCTCATGTATTTACGGAGGGAGACTTTGTGACTGAGATGGCATTGTATATGCTGTGTCTTGCAGCTCTGATGGCACCTCTTTGTCATAGTTTTAAATTTTGAAGTGACTTCCTGACAAGGTAAAAAAGAGACAGTGACCCCGTAGAGCTACACTGTCCAATGTAGTAGACTCTAGTCAGTTGTGGCAATTTAACTTCAAATTAAGTAAAATTAAATAGAACTAAAAATTCAGTTCCTTGGATACACAGCCACATTTCCGGTGCCCGGTAGCCACTTGTGGCTGGTGGTTACAGTAATGGACAGTCCAGATAAAGATCATTTCCATCAACACGGAGGGGTGTAGCAGATAGGCCTGCCTTCAAGGCATCCACAGCTACATGCTCCTGACACTTGCTCTTCTTGCTGCACACTTGAGAGCTGTTTCCACAGGGGACTCTTCAGAGAAGGCAGTTTTGCTGGGCTCTATCAAGCACCAGATTGGACGCCTGAATTTAGAAAAATTAGTTTCCCTGTGACAGCTTCCTACAATTCTGTGGTTAGTTTTGTGTCCCTTTTGTTATCCTCTGAAAGTAGCTTATAACATTTGAAGATCGAATTGAGCTTTCTCAGGTGTGGCTGTTTTTTCCCCCTCTCCAAATCATATGATCATACTTACTTTTCTTGTGCTTGACTTGTCCCAAGGGGGTCTGTTTCTTTATTATATGGACCTTACACTTTCCTAGTAACTTCTTTCCTGAGCCTCATACCTTAAGTTTATATTTGTTGCACATATATTTTCCGTAGGACTTCCATGGACTGTTGTCACAGTGGTTCTTAATCAGGGGTGCCCATCACTGTCACCTGAGGTACTTTCAAAGAATATAGGTGCCTTTGCCCCACTCCTGGAGTTTTAGAATCTGTAGGTTTGGAGTACGGCTTGGACATGTATATTTTTTTAAGCTCCATAAATTATTTTGTATACACCTTTAGTTAAATGCAAACCACTACATTTTTGGAGACCCTCCTGGCTTTGTTAGGAATCTATATTTGGGTTATATAGTGGGCCAGGCCCTTTACGCATAACCATACTAGGGGTGTAAATAAATGTGTGCAAGAATTTCACTTGCTATCTGGAGTTCCAGGAAGATGATTTGCTTTTTCTCCAAGCTCTCTTGCAAGATGTACAAATAACAGTTCCCTGCTAGACTAGCTTTCTTTGATAATCCCCATTTAGATTTCTGACAGGCCTGTCAGATTTAACTTATCTGAAACAAAATCCTTACATCCCTGCCTACATCCCACTGCCCCCTCCCCCCAAATCAGTCTTTTCTGACTCAGGAGATCTACTCAATTTGTCCAGCCAAAAACCTATGTATTTTTCTTAATTTCTGCCTTGCCCTCAACCTCCATATCTAATCTACCAGTTATTCCTATCAGTTCTTCTAAAATAGATCTCAAATCTGAATACTTTCTCTCCATCTTCACTATCCTAATCCAGGCTACCAAATTTTAAAAAGCTTTTTATTACTGAAAAAAAAAAATCAGACACATACAAAAGTAGAGAGGATCGTCTAATGATTCCCTCCGTATCTGTCACCGGCTTCAGCAGTTACCAATTCATGGCCGGTCTTGTTTCATTTACTGCCCCTCCCATTGGGATCATTTTGAACAAATCATACTGTCAATATTTCAATCTGTATCTCTAAAAGGCAACATGACTCATTTTATTGTGCCCCTACTCCTAATTGCTCACTGGCTTCCTGTTTTACACTTACAATAAAATGCACACTCCTCACTGCCCCGTACATGTCTGGCCTTTACTCCTCTTCCCTGCCCCTTTACGCCCCTCTTCCCCTTTGCTTAGTAATATCTGGCCACTCTTGACATATTTCTGTTTGGATTCACCTTTTTTCGGTTTGAGCCCTTTGTACACATTCTCCCTTCTTCCTGCACAGCTCTTTTCTGGATCTTCACAGGCCCCATTCCAACTCATCCTTTGCTCCTTGGCTCAGATGCCACCTTGTCAGAGAGATTTTCCCCCGATTACTGTATAATTAGCCCCCTCCCATGACTCTGTCCCATATCCCCCTATTTACTTTCTTCATTGCACTTAGGAATTGGAAAGTGTATTGTTTATTTGCTTATTGTCCATTTTCTGATTTTCACTATTAGAATGGGCAGGGACCTTATCTGTCGTATATCCTTTAATGATTAGAACAGTACCTGGCTTACAAGAAGTGCTCAGTAGGGGCTCCTGGTGGCTCAGTCAGAAGAGCATGCGACTCTTAATCTCCAGAGTCGTGAGTTCAAGCCCCAGGTCGGGTGTAGAGATTACTAAAGAAAATAAATTAACTTTAAAAAAATTTTTAAAAAATAAGTACTCAGTAAATATTTGTTGAATATGAACATGCTGCTAGGGGACTGGAACTGACTACAGTAGAGAGTTCATGTTGGGGGGATTAAGTAAAGCTAATTAGAATGGGTTATTATATATTTTAAAATAGATATTTAAGGTCTTTTGCCTTCCTTATTATTGCAATATATTCTGTTTATTTCAGGCTGCCTTTGATACTTGTTGGGAACAAATCTGATCTGGTGGAATATAGTAGTATGGAGACCATCCTTCCCATTATGAACCAGTATACAGAAATAGAAACCTGTGTGGAGGTATGCCTTACCATTTCATTTAGAAATTTACTGCTGGTGAATTCTCACTAAACTGTAGTTTGAAATACGACGTGTGAAAGTGTGGGATGGGATAACTTTCCTGCTGTTTGTGAAGTCATGTAAACCAAATAAAACAGAGAACTTGGAATTGGCCTCTGAGTTCTTTGTAGACATTAATATTAGGATTTCAATGGAGAAAAATGTCTTTTTCAGTTTCTTCAAGCAATCTTGTTATTACCTTATATTGATAGTTTAAAATTGTTTTTAGCTCCCATAATTGCTTTTAGGACATAAAATTTTAAACTTTTTTTCAGTGTTCAGCAAAAAACCTCAAGAACATATCAGAGCTCTTTTATTACGCACAGAAAGCTGTTCTTCATCCTACCGGGCCCCTGTACTGCCCAGAGGAGAAAGAGGTAACCCCCTGCCCCCCAGGCTGTGTTAGTAGGGGCTGGAATGTGTAGGTAGTAACTCTAGTAGTGATTTTTAGTAACTCTTTTTTTTTTTTTTTTAAGATTATTTATTTATTTATTTATTTGAAAGAGAGAGAGATAGCGAGCAGGAACACAAGCAGGGGGAGTGGGAGAGAGAGGAGCAGGCTTCCTGCTGAGCAGGGAGCCTGATGTGGGGCTCGATCCCAGGAACCCGGGACCATGACCTGAGCTGAAGGCAGATGCTTAACAACTGAGCCACCCAGGTGCCCCGATTTTTAATAACTCTTAAGTATTCTTCTTAACTGCTGAAATTTAAATTATTGTCTATTAATCAATTACATTTTCTAAGTACTTCAAAGACATTCATGTTAAATACTATGAATAGTATTCCAGGTCAAAAAGTATTTCAGGAAATGCCATTAAAACAAACAGAAGAATTGGCAACAATAACAGTAAAGTCTGAAGACTTACCTAATGGTTTACTTAGTTTGCTAGTATAAAGTTCACAGACTTAAAAACACACACAAATGAAAACCTTGTGTAATGATTTGACATAGGTACAGCATGTAACACAATTTGAATATTCCATTCTGTTTCATAGCTAAGAAACACAGTAGTATCTAAAATTTAACAATATTTGCTATAGACTTTTTTCTTTTTTAAAAAAATTTATGTATTAATTCCAGTATAATTAATGTACAGTGTTGTATTAGTTTCAAGTGTACAATATAGTGATTCAGCAATTCTGTATGTTACTTAGTGCTCATCATGATAAATGTACCCTTGGGGTGCCTGGGTGGCTCAGCAGGGAGCCTGCTTCTCCCTCTCCCTCTGCCATTCCCCCTGCTTGTGCTCTCTGGCTCTATCTCTCTGTCAAATAAATAAATAAAATATTTTAAAGTAAATAAATGAATTAATGAATGAACCCTTAATCCTCTTCATCTATTTGCCAAAGTCTTTTTTTTTTAAGATTTATTTATTTATTTGAAAGAGAGAGAGAGAGAGTCCACGTGCGCATGAGCTGGGGGAGGTGAGCCAAAACCAAGAGTTGGCCGCTCAACTGACTGAGCCACCCAGGCGCCCCTGCCATAGACGTGTATGGATATACCACATTTTGTTTGTTTATCCATTCATCTGTTGATTGACATTTGGGTTGTTTCCATTTTTTGATTATTGTGAATAGAAGAAGTTTGAGTACCTGTTTTCATTTCTTTTGAGTGTATATTGAGTGGGTTGCTAGGTCACATGGTAGTTCGGTTTCATTTATTGAGGAATCACCAAACTGAATGGCAGGTTCCAATTTCTCCACGTCTCTGCCATGCCAATACTTGTGATTTTCCTTTTTGTGTGTTTGTGTGTGCTTTATTATGGCCATCCTAGTGGTGGTGGGGGTTTTGATTTGCATTTCCCTGATACCTAATGATGCTGAACATCTTTTCATGTGCTTATTGGCCATTTGTATACGGAGAAATGTTTATTTAAGTCTTTACCCATGTCTTAATTGAGTTGCTTTCTTATTGTTGAGTTTTTAAGAAATAAAAAGTTGCAGATTTTTTCCAGGAGAAATTTATAGTATCAGTGAGTGGCTGGCAGACTTTGACCCGTGGGCTAAATTGGCCTGCCACCTGTTTTTGTACGGTTTGTGAACTCAGAATTTATATATTACACGTTTTTCAAAGATTGAAAAAAAAATCTGAAGAAATAATATTTTGTTATATGGGAAAATTATAGAACTTTCAAATTTCATCATTCATAAATAACATTTTACTGCAACACAGCCACACTCGTTCCTTTATGTTTGTCTGTGACTGCTTTCGTGCTGCAAAGGCACGAGTAGCTGCAACAGAGCCCGCATGTGCTGCCCTCACTTCTCCCTGCTGCCTGGCGCACTGCTGATTGCACTGACCCCGTTATGACTTTATAGTGTGAGTACCAGGTGTGCCATGGTACCTGAGCATCTTACTGTTTTATTATCAGTGCATTACCTAGCATGCCAGAACAAAAGAAATATATGGCAAAGCAGATAGATTTTCTGAGCTCAAACTCCAGTTCTCGCATCATTTTTTTAGGGACCTTAATGCAAATGCAAAGGAAAGTTCCATGTTTTATAATTCATTTGACTGTGCACTTGAAGAGCTTCCACCTAACCTTCAATTGGAACTGATGAATCTGTAGTGTAATGACATGCTAACAGGAAAATATCAAGAAAAGAATCTAATATAATTTTGTAAATGCCTTCCAAGCAGTTAATGTGCTCAATTAAAATGCTCTATTTATGGATATGTGTCAGTATTGGCCATACATATCTACAAAATGATTTTCAAAGATGAAATATGTAAAATCTCATTGCAGATCGGCATTAACAGATGAACATTTTCAGTTTTCATGATAGAGAACACTACCTTTGAACCCTAATTAAACAAAACGTTATTCCTCCCCCCAAAATTCCATTTTTCTTATTCGTAGACCTGTGTAGCAAATTTTTACTCCGTTATTATTACATTTTGAATTCTGTCAGTAAAAACTTTATGGAAATTTGATTCTCTCTTGCTATATAATATATAAATACCTACATGATATTCTTGATTTTGCCTATTGGCCCCCAAAGCCTAAAATATTCGCTATGTGGCGCTTCACAGAAAAGGTGCCGACCCCTGGTATAAGTAATTAATCTGAGTTATCCCTTAATCTGACCCTGATTTACTCTTCCTTAATCCTGGTTTACTGTTCCATAATTGGAGTGCTTCTTTCTAATTTACTCTTAGTCCAGTATTTCCCTAATTTGCCCCAGAATAGTCACTAGGCACACTTGTTAAAAACACCAATCCCATTCTGATTCAGCCAGATACAGCATCTTATGATCAAGGAAATTTGGGAAAGTCTCATACTATAGAGATTTACCTGAGGCCTTGGCCTAGTGGTACATTAAATCCGCTCTCTTAGTTTGTTCTCAGTGCTTTAATTGCTACTTTTTTCCTAGGCCTATTATTAGTTCTGCTAATCTGCTTATCTCCGCTGCCCTTCCCCCAGTCCCAGAGACTAAAACTTCTACCACCATCTGTTACTTGTTTCTTAGGAGGACCTGCCTGAGATAAAAGGTGTAACTTTTAGAAACTAAACCTTGTTTATGTACACAACAATAATAATTTTTTTCCCCTAAGTAAGCTCTACACCCAACATGGGGCTGGAAATCCTGACCCTGAGATCAAGAGCTGCACCCTCTACCAGCTGAGCCAGGCAGGCACCCCAAAAATAAACTTTTAACGCAGGGAGTGCCTGGGTGTTTCAGTAGATTGAGCCTCCTACTCTTGATTTCAGCTCAGGGTGGTGAGATCCAGCCCTGGTCCAGCTCTGTGCTCAGCACAGAGCCTCCTTAACGATTCTCTCTCTCCCTCTGCCCCTCTATCCCAGGTTGTGGGTGCACACATGCACGCGTGCTCTCTCTCAAAAATAAATAACCTTTTAACACAGATTTGAGGTGGAATCATCAAAAAAATAATATTCAAGATTAAAGCCTGATGATTAATTCAAAATTAATTCCAATGATGATGGACTCTGTATGGCCCATGGAGTCCTCTGCCTACCTAATAACGAAAATGATGTGACTTGTATAATAATGTTTATTGTGTGAGGGTTTTAATTATTCATATGCAAAATGACATATTTAATTACTGTAAAATTTTTTTACAGCTTTATTGAGATATAATTAATACCTTTTAAACATAGTCATATTTGGGTGTTATGTTTTAAGGTAATTACTATTTATGTACTGTATTGAGCCAATAGCGTAGATAACTTTAGCTTTTTTTTTTTTTAAGATTTTATTTATTTGTCAGAGAGAGAGAGAACAAGCAGGGGGAGCGGCAGGCAGAGGGAGAAGTAGGGAGCAGGGAGCCCGATGTGGGGCTCGATCCCAGGACCCTGGGATCATGACCTGAGCTGAAGGCAGACACTTAACTGAGCCACCCAGGCACCCCCAGAAGAAGCTGTATTATTTGGTTTCTAACTTTTTTACTTAACTTTTCTCAGTTCTTTATAATCTCTTTATATCTTAGGTTTTATCTTTGTCTCATTACATCAAATTGTTCTCCTAGAGACCCTATTTAAAACAACATAAGAAGGGATTGCCTATATGTTTGAGAAGATAATAATATTGTTTTTTCCAGATAGCGGTATGGCTGAGGTTCATAAGTACACATTTCCTCACCTTGCCATCTTCATTTCTCTGACTCAGACTGTCCATAGGAGATCTCCTTCCAGATTTACACAGTGTTTAGAGATCTTCCTGAAAGTTTTATTTTCTCAAGATAGTTAACAATGGTTATCCTATAGTAAACTATACAGATCAGAAGCGTGTGGGCCTTATTTTTAAATAGTAAAATATTTGTTCTATCCATTATATATCCTAAAACAAAATGAAGGAAGTTGTCAAAATACATTTCCAGCAGCATTACTTATAAAAGTTTTATAGAGTCACAGTAGGCAAGATTCTTTTTAAAATGCAAGTAATTCTTATAATAGGAAGTTAATTAAAGGCTTTTATACTTTTGCCACCTCTTTGTGATTAAGCATACTTAATTCCCGACTTTGACACACACACACACACGTGAGAGACCAAAACATTCAGTCCCATTCTTCTGTCAGAAGGTTGGTCAAAAATCAGATGTTGGGGGATACCTGGGTGGCTCAGTTGGTTAAGCATCTGCGTTCGGTTCAGGGCATGATCCCAGGGTCCTGGGATCGAGTCCCGCATTGGGCTCCTTGCTCAGTGGGGGCCTGCTTCTCCCTCTGCCTGCTGCTCCCCCTGCTTGTGTTCTCTCTCTCTCACAAATAAATAAATAAAATCTTAAAAAAAAAATCAGAAGTTGGTTATATCTCAGTAAAGTTGGGGGGAAAATCAGAAATTGGGAAGGAAGGCCCTTAGTAGTTTTATAGTCAGTTCAAATTTTTTATGGAATGAAGGAGAGCATAAATAAATATTTATTTTCTATATGACTGGAAGAATAAATTTTCTCTAATGATGAACTTCTTTTTTGCTTATCCTTGGAGAATTTTTGGTCACCAGGGGCAGAATTTGACCATTCTGTGTATTGGTCCAAGTAAACAGTACCTCATTTACTTAAAAAGACATTGAGTATAAAAGTAAATGGCTTTGCTTTAGTTCACTTTTCATGTTTTATTTGATGTTATGTATTTGATCATGAAAAGAAAACATTACTTATGAAAGTCATATTTTGAAATCCCAACTATCTTAATTAACATAATTGTTTCTTTTCTCAATGATGTATAGATGAAACCAGCCTGTATAAAAGCCCTCACCCGTATATTTAAAATATCTGATCAAGATAATGATGGCACTCTCAATGATGCTGAACTCAACTTCTTTCAGGTAGCCCTCTTCTTCTTTAGGCATTTCTATATCTTGGGGGGTTTCTTGTTGAGAAAAGCTATAAAAATATTATTAGCTTAAACAATGTTATGTTGATAAGCATGTCTTTTTCATGTAAAACTGTCTTTCCCATCAAGCTATTTAAGTCTTCACCTGGGGTATAAAACTCTCCTATGCACAGGAATTGAGGGGACTCTTTGTGTCATTTCATGGTATACAATGGGTGTATTAAAGATGACTTGAAGTTTGAACTCTGAATTATTTTTTCTTTCTTGATTTTGTATAACATGGGTACACAAAGAGCTCTGTGTTTTAGAAATGCTATGGAGAGAGTAGGGAAAATTTCTTTCCTTCTACATATGACATGTTTTAAATAAATAATGCAAAGCAGAGATGATCCTATTCTAATTTAGGATTTGGTGCTTTTTTTTTGGTTACAACTGGTTTAATGTTGTTTTGTAGATTAATGTTTTATATTATTTGTGGTTTTAATGCTGTTTTGTTTTTAAATTGATTTTTATGTTTTTTGCTAGAGGATTTGTTTCAATACTCCATTAGCTCCCCAAGCTCTGGAAGATGTCAAGAATGTAGTCCGGAAACATATAAGTGATGGTGTGGCTGACAGTGGATTGACATTGAAAGGTGAGTGAATGGTGTTCCCCCCCCCCCTTTAAACTTGATATTTTCAAACTTTGGCAGGAGGTGCAGGTCCTAGCATTATATATACTTTAAGAAAATATTAGTATTTACTGACAGACCTAAGATCTAACTTGGTTATTAAGAGTTAGAAGAGACAGGCCATTGATGGAGATAATTATCCTTACTGTCAGCAAAGATTAGAGGTGGGAAAATTGCTCAGATCTTAGGAATGCAGAGGTCCATCTGAGGGGCTGAGATTTCTGGGACAAACAAATTTATCTTAATATTCTTACTACTTAACAGCATCCTTTAAATATAAATTATTTTCAGGGCAGACATTTTGTCTACCAGTCACATTTACCAAGTACAAAATGTTCCTTGTAGAACGTATAACAGAGCCACAGTGAAATAAGAGATGAAATTGAAAACCACTGTTTTCCATTATAGAAATAAGTTCAAAAATCTATAAAATGACTTCATTTATTTTTATCATATAACTTTGTGAATGTCAGTGTATTCCTTGGGATGCATTTTTGGCCCTTTTATCCATTGCCATCTCTTGCTGCCTTGGGTGTATATGTGAAATGTTTCTGAAGTCAGCTCTGTTTCATTGACAGATTTATGGACTTTGTTTTGATTTGACCTTCGGTATGCAAAGCTGTATGCATATGTTCATGATTCTAGCTCTTGCCGTTATGTGTTACATGCTTTTCTCCCTTGTGACTTTGTACCCTTATTCACATCACCTGTACTTACTGATTTTATTTCAGGTTTTCTTTTTTTACACACACTTTTTATCCAGAGAGGGAGACACGAAACTACCTGGACTGTGCTTCGACGATTTGGTTATGATGATGATCTGGATTTGACACCCGAGTATTTATTCCCCTTGTATGTACCTTTGGCTTTCTAATTGATTTTGCTTGCCAAGTATTTTTAAGTTTTATTTGGCACACAGTTTAGGTAGGCTTTGAGCTACTCAGAATTAATTTAGATTTATAGAGAGGTTTATAGCAGGATTTGTCAACCTCGGCACTATTGACATTTTGGACCAGACAATTCTTTGTTGTAGAGTCTGCCCTGTGTATTATAGGGTGTTTAGCACGTCCTTTTTTTTTTTTTTTTAAGATTTTATTTATTTATTTGACAGAGACATAGCGAGAGAGGGAACACAAGCAGGGGGAGTGGGAGAGGGAGAAGCAGGCTTCCCGTCAATCAGGGAGCCCGATGTGGGGCTTGATCCCAGGACCCCGGGACCATGACCTGAGCCAAAGGCAGACGCTTGACGACTGAGCCACCCAGGCACCCCTGTTCAGCACATCCTTAGTTGCCAGTAACACCTCCTCCCCCAGCTCTGACAACTGAACACGTCCAATGTCTCTAGAAATTGCCAAATGTTCTTTCAGGAGCAAAATCATCCCCAGTTGAGAGCACCTGATTTATAGCATGGCATAAATTTTTCCTCTTCTTCTCATGGGGAATAAGAGTATCTTTTTTTATTCATCTTACTGAGGAAGGAGATAACAGATGCTGGACAAACTTGAATTTGGAATCAAGACGTCAGAGTACATTGGTTCACTTCTTTCCCTTAGTCCTTCTCTATAAGTTTTATGGCCTTTTCTTAGCTCAGGATGAAATAAGTTAATTTTTCCTAAATAGCCTGTTTAGGAATTTTGTGGTTCTGTTTGTGGTTATTTTCCTCCAATAATGCTATGTGTAAGTTGTGTTTGTTTAAAACGGACCCAGTTTCACCTGAAATAGGACACTGCCTTGCTGTGTGTTGCCTCTCCTGTACCCCAGAGAGGTAGGCTTTTCAGGGAAGTGATGTCCCAATATCTGGCCTTTTGGGTCTTCAGCCTTTCTTCTTTACTTTTTCCTTGGCACATTGTCTTCATATTGTCCCTTTTTATTTTAGCTTAGCACCCCTAGCTATCTATGTAAGGGTACAGAAAGACTCTTGTTTTTTCATTTATCATCATCATCATCGAGAAAGCAGAGTTCTTTCTGGTCTATTAATCTGGTCTAAGTTGAAACTTCTCTTGTTGAAGTGACTAAATCTTGGCTCAAGTAATTTCCCAGATTTTTCAATAAAAAACGTATTGAATGAATGAATTTGTCCCAGGACCTTTTGTCACATTTTCTTTTCTGTGCCATTAACATGGGTAGGTAAATTCTACAGGAAGTTACTTATTACTTTCTTAAGCGTGACAGTAAGAGAACTCCATTGCTTAGGGCTTTGTGGCTCACACTAATATCTCTCAGTTTCTTTATGCTGTCTGCCTTTCATTTTCTGTAGAATAGCCTCATAGAGCTACCAGTTGAATCTTTCTAGCCTTGTTATTAAACTGTCTCCTTCTGTCCTTCATACTGCTACTATATTAGTAGATATATAAATACATATTTGCCCATGTCACTTCCCTGAGAGCCAGCATAAAGCTCAGTCTTCTTAACATGTTATACAAGGTCATTCATGATCTGCTCTGCTCATGCTTCACTCCCTGCCTTCATTCTAGAAGTAAATACTGCTACTAAACTATTTATAGTCTACCAATCATCAGTTGTTTCGGGCTCTAGGCTTTTGCCCAGGGATTCTCACTTCCCCCCCGCCAACCTAATTATTGCTTCTTAGCCTTCAAGTCTCTCCAAGTGAGTTGATAGTGTCTCTCAGTAGGACTGACACCTTCCCACCCCCATGCCAGAGATGTCCTCTTTCGTGTGGGCCACCATAGCATCCTTGGTTTACCCATATCCACCACTTGCCTCATTCTGTTGCAATAGTGAGGTTGTCTGTCCGTGGTCTGTCTCCTACTTGAATGTGGTTCCCTAGGGGTAGGTAGCCTGTCTTGTTTTTGTGTGCCTAGTACCTAGCTCAGTGCCTTTGATTGAACTGAACTTAGGATGGGTCAAAGGTCATATCAGGCAGAAATAACCTCTTCACATCTTTTCAGCTCATTAAATGTTGACATAAGCCATAATTATGACTTACAGTTTGTTTATAAGAAGAACAAGCCCATTATAGCGTAATGGTGTTACTTGTAAAATTTTTATTTCAACCTGCCCTTCAGAAATTTAAGAAAACTTTATATGTCAGCTCAGAATGAGTGTTACTACAGCTCTTGTGAGGACTGCTATTCCACTCCATTGACTTTCCCTGGGAAGGTCTAAATGGCTTCAGCAAAGGTATTTTATAAATGGTATCATCCCACAAAAAAAGGCTTGTTGCAGTTTTATATCTGTTTCTTAAATTAAATTTTAATATTTGGTTAATGATATATTTTACTGTTAAAATTTTTTTTTTGTCAATAGGCTAAAAATACCTCCTGATTGCACTACTGAATTAAATCATCATGCGTATTTGTTTCTTCAGAGCACCTTTGACAAGCATGATTTGGTAAGCTTTCAGCTGTAGTTTTCCATGATTGTAATAAAATATTTTTCTGTAAATGATTTAACTGTTCCCTTAGCTAGGGGATGCTCATGTCACATAGCCAAAAATTGCTCAAACTTCTTAAGTTAGACTAGCAAAAATTCTGTTTATTTACTTTTATTATTTTCTCAAGATGAAAAAGTCTGGTTTCTGATAGATTCTTATATAGGTTTTCTTATATACATGAGAAGAATTTTCTTGAGAAAATGTAAAATTTCATTTATTTTTAGAAGCATAGCTTTACTAGACTGGGGGCTCTGTGTTTGGGAATTATTCTCTTAGGTATCTAAACATTTTGTGTACTTCTTTGTGTATCCTCAGGATAGAGACTGTGCTTTGTCACCTGATGAGCTTAAAGATTTGTTTAAAGTTTTCCCTTACATACCGTGGGGGCCAGATGTGAATAACACAGTTTGTACAAATGAAAGAGGCTGGATAACTTACCAGGGATTTCTTTCCCAGTGGACGTGAGTACAGAGCTCACTTGTTTCCTTTAGAGTTACAGCCAATTTAAAATTACGACGTGTCACATTCATCATTTTGTAAGTTGGTCAGGTCTTACAGATTGCTTCAATCATAACTGCCTGTGAGCAGGATTTATAGTGCTGCTGCTGTGTCTACGATGAACTTTAGATGTTCTGTCAATTTATCAGGAAGGTCCTGTTTGCTTTTGGATGATGTACAGGGAAACAGTAATAAGTCTTACATCAAAACTGAACTAGATTTCAATACTTGTTTGATTAAGGGAATTGAAAACCTTATTGCTATTACACAATTCTTATACTTCCAGAATATGGGGAGAGCATATTTTACTTGACACTGAAGACTTATTTGAGGTTTTTTGCTGTTGTTGTTTGTTTTTAATTCACTTCTTAGGGTTTTTCTACAGTCTGCCTACAGCATAGTTGACATTGTATCTGGGGCGCTAAGGACATCCTCTGGTCGCGCATGATAACATTATTACTTTAGCCTTGGTGAGACTAACTTTCTCAACACCAGGATCTATTCTTTTTTTCACATGACAAGAAGGGTTAACTAATTTCAAGTGCCTTTCAGTTATTTTTGCACCTTTTGCAAACCTTTTCAGATTTAATTATCAAGTCCTCAACCAGCCAATATTTGCAGTACGCTTTTGTAACTTAGGAAGCAGATAGTATAAAATATCCTTACCTAGATTTTATCAGCATCTCACTGCTCATCTCAGTGTAGGTATAGGAATCCTACTCTACCCCTGCCAATCTTGCATCCCCTCCCTCTCTTCTCTTCCTGAAGAATGGCAGTATAGGGAAACCCATGGTTGGGCACATGGGAAATTAAAGAAGTCTGACAAATTATCTGGGTCTGGTGGTAAGATTATTTGAGCTGTTGGGGATTTTTTTTTTTTTCCCTATAAATGTCCTTTAGGAACTTTTCCCATTTCCACCTCCTCCCTTTCTTAGGCTCACGACCTACTTAGACGTCCAGCGATGCCTGGAGTATTTGGGCTATCTAGGCTATTCTATATTGACTGAGCAAGAGTCTCAAGCTTCAGCCATTACAGGTAAGTATCTGGATAGTACTCAGTTCATGCTAAGAAACATTTTTTAATATTCCGGGTTCATGTGTGAAAAGAGTGAAAATAAACTCCTCTTCATTAGTCTTTCATGTCTGTAGTCTGTTCTCCTAGCCATTTGGTAATTTCTTTTGAGTTCAGAGTCTTGATTTTACTGTTTATCAAAAAAGAAGGAGTCAGGGCGCCTGGGTGGCTCAGTCAGTTAAGCATCTGCCTTCAGCTTAGGTCAATCTCAGGGTCCTGGGATCGAGCCCCACGGCGGGCTCCCTGCTCAGCAGGGGGTCTGCTTCTCCCTTCATCCCTCACCCCTCTCTCACTCTCTCAAATAAATAAATGAAATCTTAAAAAAAGAATACTTAAAAAAGAAAGAGTAGAGGTTTTACTTCTAGCTTACCCCTGAGGACACTCCACTGATGAACATCAGGGAGGGCTATGGGCAGTAAATGTAATGGGCCAGTTTATCTTGTCTTTTAATTTTCTTTAGACATTAAAAACAATACCTATTAACACATAATCCCAATACTGAGCTGTGTATCTCTTGGTTTTGTAACCATTTTCTACACTGGGAAATCTTTCCCAGACTTTATAATTCTTGCTGAGCAGTGTGCTCCACTTAAAGAATACCATAGGTATGGAAATAACAAATTAGGGAACGGATCGTTTCAAGATTTTCTTATATCCTAATTGGTGGGGGAAATGCCATATCTTACAGGAAGTCCCGGCACAAGAAGACAACCTATTTTTTTTTTTTTTTAAAGATTTTATTTATTTGAGACAGAGCAAGAGAGAGCATGAGCATGGGGGAGAGGCAGAGGGAGAGGGAGAAGCAGACTCCCCACTGAGCAGGGAGCCCGATGTGGGGCTCGATCCCAGGACCCTGGGATCATGACCTGAGCCGAAGGCAGACGCTTAACTGACTGAGCCACCCAGGCGCCCTGAAGGCAATCAATCTTAAACTGACAGAGCAAGTACCCTTTAAAGTAGTTAACCAATTACAGTATTTATTTATTTATTTATTTATTTATTTTTTTTTTTAAAGATTTATTTATTTGAGAGAGTGAGAATGAGAGAAAGAGAGTACATCAAGGGGGGTGAGGGTCAGAGGGAGAAGCAGGCTCCCTGCCGAGCAGGGAGCCTGATACGGGACTCGATCCCGGGACTCCGGGATCATGACCTGAGCTGAAGGCAGTCACTTAACCAACTGAGCCACCCAGGCACCCCAATTAGACAGTATTTAATTCAGCACCAAGGAGCAAGGAACGAATTCCTAGCTAGCATGAGGTTCTCTCACTCTCACAAAATATTGTGGACATCTTGCTATATCAGTAAGTATAGTTTTATAGATTTTAATGTTAAATAGTGTGTCATCATATGGATGTGTGTAACTTATTGGACTATCCCATGATTGTTGTGTGTTTTTTATCATTTTCTGTTTTTAGCTACTATAAATAGTGCCTCTGGTGAGCTTCATTGTAGTTGAATTGTGGGGTACAGCTTGAAGAGGTCTCTTTACCTCTGGGAGAGAGGCACCATTGCTCTGCTGTTGGAGCATTCTTTTCTGTTCTGGCTCTTTACAATTTTACATTTGAAAGCCAGTGAACCCCAGAGTGCATATCCCTTTCCCATTTATAAATTCAAGAGTGTGCAGATTGGAGATAGCATCTTTTAATTTGTAATTTGTTATGACAGTTATTTATCAGAGAAGAAAATAGATGGGATATAATGTTGGCTATATTCATTGTAGTTTTCATTCATTTTTTGGATATAATTTTCCTTATGAAAATGTGCTACTTATTTTATCCTGAAATAAATGTCATTTGGTTACCAGAAGTTCACTTTACAGCCAGCTTTCAGAAATGCGTCTTTTCCACCAAGTGAAGCCCTTCCGTATATTTAGTGCTTGGTTTCACATACAGCATGGCTGATGCACAGTATGTCTGTTTATTCATCATACACTTCATAAAAATGAGAAATCACAGCACCCTATTTTGCAGAAGATGAAGTGGAGGCTCAGTGAGTCTAAATGGTACATAATTAGTTTTTTTTTTCTTCGTAGTAACAAGAGATAAAAAGATAGACCTTCAGAAAAAACAGACTCAAAGAAATGTGTTCAGATGTAATGTAATTGGGATGAAAAACTGTGGGAAGAGTGGAGTTCTTCAGGCTCTTCTTGGAAGAAACTTAATGGTGAGAGTTCTCAGATAATAGAGCTTTTCCAACAAATTTTTATCATCACGAGTTTACATGATTTTTTCATAGCCACCAGCTCTTTTTACTGGAGCTCAGTGGCCTGTGTATATTAGTAAAGTACAACTTAAGGGTAACGATGATCCTGTTGAGCTGCCTTTATCTTCGTTTCATTGGTGTTAGCTGTCATTTGTCTTTTTTTTCCTCAGCAGTATTTAGGAGGGGGTTAAATGAATGCATATGTGAAAGCACCTGACATGGTGCTTGGCATGAAGTAAATGTACAGTAAATATTTCAAATTGAATACTGTATCTAATTCTGGCCCCGAGTAAAGAGATGGAGGTGTTCCAGATGGGTCTCATGTCAGACCAAATTATAGCACAATGAGAATTGCTAGCAGGTAGCTCTGTAGTACATTTTCAGTAATGTAGTTTCCTTCCTTTTCAGCTGCTCCTTTTACTTTATGCAGAACAAATGCATCTTTTGTCTTAGACCTTAAGAACTAAGAAACATAAAATCAATGTCCCCTTTGTACTGATAAATAATACATAGTGTAGGGAAGAATGCCCTTTTATTTATAACACACCCACACATACATGCAGAGTGTGTGTTGATGGAAACTAGGTACTGTAACTTCTTATTGTAAATATTGAGACTTTTGGTTGTTTTCAGAGGCAGAAGAAAATTCGTGATGATCATAAATCCTACTATGCGATCAACACTGTTTATGTATATGGACAAGAGAAATACTTGTTGGTAAGAAATTCTCTGGCATATAAAGATTACTAATTATTAGGTATATTTTTATATGACTCTTTGAAGACATAATTTCATTTAATATCGTGGCTATATGTAGAACTTGTGCGATTTTTTTTTCTTTCACCTGGTTTATTCATTGGAATTAATTTTAATTCCCCTGATGTGTATGGTGATCACATGGGTGTAGGTATAAGTGAAAGTTAATCTATTTGTGTGCTTAATTGTATATTATACACAACAGAAAGTAAAAACAACAAAAAAATTGCTTCTCTTTCCTCTTCCACTTTTCTTTAAAAAATTTTTTTCCTCTACTGTTGACTAGAAATTAATATGAAAACCTTACCGCAGGTGCTTGGTAGTTTGTACTCTGAATCAAGTTTCATCTATTTAGCAAGAGAGGAGTATGGTTACCAAATGTGTTAGTCTAAAAAAATGGATGAAAGAAGTGCATGACTGAAAAGACACTATGAAATACAGTAGAAAGACATTGTATGTTCTTCTTGGATCCAGTCAGTTTGGTTCAAACCCTCATCCACCATTGATTAGCTGTGTGACCTCAGGCAAGTGGCTTATTCTCTCTGAGCCTGACTTTCTTATTAAGTTAGCTCATATGAGGAGCTCCTAACAAATAATAGGTACCAGAAAAAGTTCATTTCCTTTCTTTTTGGAAATAGTTTATTCTGCCAGACAGGTGATCCCATTGAATTTCATACAGTTTTTCCTCTTTATGATAAATATTTTTTATCAGTTTCTTATTAAACCTTGTTTATCTCCCATTCTTCTCCTGTAAGTATAGTTCTGCTTAACTGGGTACTCAGTAAATAGAGCTGACTTTTCAGAGTGAATTTTCCTGTTTTTATTCTTATACTGTTCTTTGTAAATTGATATCTTTCATGCCTCTGACTATCCATGCTGTAATAGTGTTTTATTTGGAATATATCGAGTCACTTCTGACCTTGTACTTCCTCCTCAGCATAGTTGTACTGTTTTATATAACTCAGTAGTACTGAATTTTACTGTTGCTGGATCATTGTCATAGGGGGGCTATTTCTTTAGAGGCTTTATAATAAACATTAAAAAAGAGTAGGCAGTGAAGTAGAACAAAATGACCTTAGTGTAAAGAGTCTTTTTCTTTGTTTTGTTTTTTTAAGTTGGTGAGGAGAAAATGTGGTCTGGTAGAAAGAAAACAGACTTGAAATCATATTTGAGTTCAAGTTTTGGTCTGATGACTTGCTAGATGTGTTATCTTAGGCAGTTGACTTAATCTTTTTAGCCTGTCATCTTATCTGTGTAGAGAATGTACGTAATGGGCCTGCCCGGCACAGGTCAGTCACTAAATGTTTGCTTCTGTAAAACCTTAATCACAGTTTTCAGTCCTCAAAATCAGAAGCTACTTTTTTTTTTATTATGTTAATCACCATACATTACATCATTAGTTTTTGATGTAGTGTTCCATGATTCATTGTTCGCGTATAACACCCAGTGCTCCACACAGAACGTGCCCTCCTTAATACCCATCACCAGGCTAACCCATCCCCCCACCCCTCTCCCCTCTAGAACCCTCAGTTTGTTTTTCAGAGTCCATCGTGTCTCATGGTTCGTCTACCCCTCAGATTTCCCCCCCTTCAAGAAGCTACTTGTTTATCTACACTTCCCACCTCTAAAAATAGCCTGAAAAGTTATGCTTAATTAGTACTTTATTTGGAAGTCAAGCAATAATAACACATCATGACTTTAATTAAACATCAGTATTATGGTATTAATGTTTCTTATCTTTTTCTTTTTACAAGTTGCATGATATCTCTGAATCGGAATTTCTAACTGAGGCTGAGATCATTTGTGATGTTGTGTGCCTGGTATATGACGTCAGTAACCCCAAATCCTTTGAATACTGTGCTAGGATTTTTAAGGTTTGTTGTTCTTCTGGTCTGTAACTGTTGGTTTGGTCTGTAATTTTATGTGGAGTTAAATGAAATTGTATGATGTGATGTTTTCTAACCAGGGAGAAGCAAGAAAATCACTTGTAGAGCTTTTAAAAAATACATATATTTGTCCCATCCCTAAAGGTTCTGGTTTTATTCTGAGGTGGTAGAGTCCTAGACATCTGTATTTTAAAAACATTTTTTTCCACTTGTAACTCTGATGGGCACCCGTAGTTAAGAACCTCTATATTAATGAAAGGTCTCCTTGGCCATTACAAATGCACTTGGAGGGGCACCTGACTGGTTCAGTCAGTGGAGCGCGTGACTCTTAATGTTGGGGTTGTGAGTTCGAGCCCACATTGGGTGTAGAAATTACTTAAAAATAAAATCTTAAAAAAAAAAAAAAAGCAGTGCACATGACTTATATATTGCCAGTTACACCAATAATAATAGAGCAAGGGGAAAAACCAGAGGCTTGAGAAGTCCTCACTTTGAGATTATCACCAAAATGCAATAAGAGTTAAAAACTGTATGTACAAAGGAATTTATTCTAGCATTGTTTTTAATAAAAAAACTAGAAATAATCCAGATGCCTAACAATAGGAGGATGGTTTACTAAATTAGGACAAAATAGGGGGCGCCTGAGTGGCTTAGTCGTTAAGCATCTGCCTTGGGCTCAGGTCATGATCCCGGGGTCCTGGGATCAAGCCCCGCATCGGGCTCCCTGCTCCGCGGGAAGCCTGCTTCTCCCTCTCCCACTCCCCCTGCTTGTGTTCCCTCTCTCGCTGTGTCTCTCGCTGTCAAATGAATAAAATAAATAAAATCTTTTAAAAATTAAAAAAAAAATAAAAAGACAGAATAATACAGTGGAATATTAAGCAGCCATTAAAAAGAATGGTTTTTGAATTCTGAAAACATGGAAGATTAAGTATTATATTTTTAAATGGCTATGTCCAGCATGGCTGCAGCTATAGAAACATATACAGATGCACGTGCTTAAGGACAAATGATATGAAAAATGAAAAGAGTGAACAAAATGATAGAATTGTGAAGCAGAAGTTTTAAAAATGAAAATAATGTGCTCTAGGATAGAGGAATTTAGATGGATTTCTTTTTATTTCAAAATGTGGTATCTTTTTAATAAAAAATAGTGATTTTTTTCAAATTGTAGTGAATCTGAAGAGTTGTTATAGGTTCATATGGTTGCCAGCATTAGAAAATTGGCCCTGGTCTTATGAGACTGCCCTGGTCCACTGCCAGTCACTGCCTCTTAGTTTACTTTCTCTTTGAGGCTATGCTTTGCCTAGCCAGAGATAATTTTTAGGACACATTTAATTAAATGTAGTAATTTTTTAACTTGTCATCAGATTTTGATTTTAGTTTTTATTCCATAGCAACACTTCATGGACAGCAGAATACCTTGCTTAATCATAGCTGCAAAGTCAGACCTGCATGAAGTCAAACAAGACTATAGTATTTCACCTGCTGATTTCTGCAGGAAACACAAAATGCCTCCACCACAAGCCTTCACTTGCAATACTGCTGAAGCACCCAGTAAAGATATCTTTGTTAAACTGACAACGATGGCCATGTACCCGTAAGTACTTGCTCTGCTGTCATTTTCATGTTGCATGGTTCATAATAACGTCGCATGCCGTGATGAGCCACGAGGGCGAAACCTTTGTCACATAGAAGTTGTTCAGCAACAGAAAGAGACTTTGTAATGAGAAGGAACAAATTTGAGTAAATGCGAGTTTGGTTTGGGTGCCATAATAAAATTACACAAAGAGTGCTTCTGACAGGATTTGTATATTTTTAAGCAGACTGTAACTATCTTAATAGGATAGTACAGTGAAACTCAACCCCTGACCCAGCATTTAAAAAATAGTCTTACTGCAGTCAAATGGGGTTGGCATCATGTTACTTTATGCTTTTAAGACATCTCCATATGAACAAAAAGTTCATTTTAATATTTTTCTCTTGACTCATTGACCTTGAGTATGTGGAGGATTCTAAAATATTTTATGAATTTATGTTTAAATTATAGATATGTTCGAGAATATAATGTCTTTTTTAAGTGCTGTAAAAAGTAGTTGTAATTGGAATTCCTGCTATATAAATGTTTTACATTAAGTGTTACGAACCATGAATTTTATGTACATTTATTGTATATCTGTACATGGATATGCATAAACACATAACTGGACATTTTCATAGCTTACTAACTGCCTTAGAATTGCATGGTTCTTAATGGCATTCTCCTCAAGTACTGTGTGTGTATAATCCTGTTTTGTAACAAGATAGTTTTTCAGGCAGTGCGTTTCTCAGGACTTTAGCTTAATCTATTTATTATTAATTTAGTCTCTGAATTATTTTTCTTCTTATGAAAACTACGGTATAAAATAGAGTAATAAACATGGCTTCAAACTGAAGTCTTTCAGAAAAGTGTTAATTTGCGCAGATTCTTCAAATCAGAGTTAACTTTACTGCTATCCTGTTAACTAATACTTTTTAAAAAGAGGCAGCAAGCCCTTGAAATTCTATTTGTATTGGAAGACAAGTCATTCCTGTTAGTATAAGATAAACAGAACCTTATTTATGTTTTACCTTTGCTTTAAAACTCTCGTGTATGTTATCTACAGAGAGGATCATTACAGAGACAGACTCTCCCGAGACATGGGCAACACTGATAGAATAGAGAATTTGAGAAAAATCTGGGTCTTTCTAAAAACTGCTTTGTAAGTTACTTTTTCTTTATGGCTTCTGTGGGATTTTGTTGACATTTTCTTATAGATGACCAGATCTCCTTTCTTGCCGTAATTAATTTAGTAATTATCCAGAAACGCACTGCTTGGTCGGGCTTACTGCCTAACTGTATATTACAGTGGTGTTTTTTTTCTTTTTCCTTTTTTAGTTTTTACTATGTAAATGCACTGTTTTAATCTTGTAGATAACTGTGAGTGTGTTTTCAGATCTGCATCTTCAAAACGTTTTACTGCAATTTGTGTGTTTGTGTGTGTGTGTGTGTGTGTGTGTGTGTGTATATGATAAATGTACATACAGGGACACTTGCTTATATGGTTAATCCCAAACTACTTCTCACGAAGCATCTCCCTGTTGCTAAGCATACTTTGCATCTCTCCTCTTTGCGGGGCGGAGCCTGTGTGTGTTGGAGAGTCAGACTGAACTGATAAAATAACAGATGGATTCCAGTATGACAGCTGGTAGCGACTTAGTAGCATTGATATGTTCCTCATCACAAGTCAGGTTTTAAAGAGGAATGTCTTGAGTCTATGACAGTTTAAAAATTAATTCTCATTTTTCTTCATGTTGGGAATTAGGCATTATTGGGATGCTGCTAATCGCCACAACCATGCCACGGCGCAGTGTGGTCTCATCAGATCTCACAAGCTAAGCGAAGTCAGACTGGGCCAGTCCTTTGACTGAGAAGCCTTTTAAAAAATAAAGTTCAGGTGTTACAGGAAGTGCCGGTATTGATCCGTCAGGTGGCGCTCTTCTGGGTGGGTTCTGCGCCAGGGCCTCTTCAGGGTGCTGCGATGGCTTTGTGTGTCTGCGCGGCTCCGGCCACTGGGCAGTCACTGGAGACCCCCTGCTCTGGTTGTTAGGACGGAGGTGAAATAGATTGCCCCATGTGCCTGTAGCAACTAGTACAACTCTACTCAACCAGAAAGGAGTCAGAAAGCCTCCCTAAATTTCATATCTAATATCAATTGGACCCATTGTTGATTTTTACATCCTTACCCAGAGTTTCATGCTATCACACTTAGCTGCTGTGTTTTCGTAGCAGATGAAATCCACCCTCTATTTTGTTCAAGTGGAAATTTATGAAGCACTTTGATTTCCTTTGGGAGCCAGGGTGCTTGATGAATTAAAGACGATGTTGTTCATATCTCCTCAGGGTTGAATATACTCGTCTTTTGACCCTTTTGTGTATTTGTCACTCTTCTCCTTCCTGGTTTTCAGGCATGTGTGTACGCTGGGGGAGGAGGAGGGAATGGTTATTTCAATGCTGGCAAACTTTGTCCTTTTGGCGGGTGCTGTGGCTTACTCCGTTTTTCTTTTTATTAGTTTACATGAGGGTGCCATCTATTGCTGTGCATACTTGTTCCACTAAAACGCTTGTGATAGTAATTCCATCCCCCCTCCAAAAAAACCAAGAGTGTTAGCTAATTTTCCTTAGGTTTTCTCTAGGGAGGGAGGAGGGAGCTATTGCTGTTTATTGTATTTTTGGTAAATGTGGAATTCTGCACAACTTTAGCATGCCCCACACTGTCCTTTTCCTTAGTGTTGCTTATGCCTAAATCTTTTTTTTTTTTTAAGTTGGCACACCCTAACTTGTGCCGTATTTGTAAGTAAGAACTCAACTCCTGTCCTTCTGTGTGTTTTCGCAGCCATGCCCGGTTACGCTGTATGTGCACCTGCAACAGGTGTACATTTTGCATCTGTCAGAACTTCCTCAACTCAGACTTGCTGCAATCTGTAAAGAACAAAATCTTCACTGCAGTTCTTAACAGGTTCTTAACTTTATTTACTGGGTACCAGGCATTCTGTTAAAATACAAAAGAAAAAAAAGTGGATAACTATTTATGATACAGATACTCACTACAAAGACCACAAGCCAACCGATGCCCAACTAACTTCCACTAAAATTCTCACCGTGGTGATGATGTTTTTAGGGGACTATAAAATAAGATTTTGTTTTTCTTTTTTCATGAAGGAAAGTATCGTTAAAGTATCGTTTATATGACAGGATGATATGTGTAGGGAGATTAAAATCTTTTGGCTGAGAGTTGTAGAAATAGATTAGGACTTTCATAGTAACGAAAAGACACACTGATCCCAAATGTGAAACTGTACTCACTTACGTTCAACTAATGTAACTTAATTAAAACCATACTCATGCGAACGGTATCTTGGGTTTGAAAAATCTCTGTATTATAAGTACCTGGAATGTTTATTTGAAAGAGCATGGCTTCTGGAAATGAGAATGATAGCCAACTTTGAGGATTCAAAGGATATGGGCAAGAACAAAAGGTCTGTAGTACTAGTTTTTGAGGTCTTTATAATTGAGCCCAAAACATGAAGTATGTTTAGAAAGTCATAGGCTTTTTAGAAAGTGAAGAAAAACAAACAAACAGGATATTTACATCCCCTCAAAGCAAAGAACTTGGAAGGTTATATTCTTATTCTGGTCATGCTTCCATTGCTCAGATTTACATTTTGTGAGCCTTGAAGAGCCTGTGTACTATTAATTTGTACCTACTGTAAACTTTTGTATCTAAACATGAATGAGTGCTTTGAAATTGACATTCAGCTGTCATTGGGAGCTGATCAGGCTCAACAGATTTTGGTTAGAAATGGGTCCCTTCTTTGTCTTACTGCTGGCCTCTCATTGGAGGCTAGGCTCTGGCTGTGGGATAGTTTGTGTCCACCAGCAAAAGTAGTAGATGTAGCTATGAAACAGTGAGACTGTATTTAGTGTGGGTTAGAAACTGATTTTCAAGGCATTCTAAAAAGAGTTTCGATGACATTTTGAGCACTAGCAGCTCTGGAATAAGAATGCAGCCGTCTCAGGTGACTGCTTTGAAGGGACTGCCACACCAATTTGGTGGTAAAGTTCTGCCTCTGTCCTCTGAATGGCATCTTAGAAAGTAGTAACACAGATTCTCTCATGACAACTGTCTGAGAAAATGCAAGGCTAGTTCAAACCAAACAACATGCAGGAGCTCCGGTGTTGGAAATGGTAGAGTCGGAAGAGATTCCAGAACTCATCTGGCCTAACCTCCCATCAGAATGCCTTCCTGAAAGCCTTCCTGTGGAGAGTACTGTTTATCTGCTGATGGCTTTCCTCCTAGGAGAGGGTTTTTGCTTTTGCCTTTGCTCTTTATTTTTTTTTTTTAACTAAAATGATTTCCCTATAACTTTCTCTCCTTTAGTTTTAGTTCTGCCCTTTAGAACAACATACGACTATTCTACTCCCTCTTCAACCTAGCAATCCTTCAGACATTTGAAGACGGCCATCATGTCTCCCCTAATTTTCTCTTCTCCAGGTAGAACATCCCCATTTCTTTCAGCCTCTTCTTAAATTATATGGTTTAGTGACCTCATCAGTCCTGGTTGTCCTCGTCTGAAAGCCCTTTGGGTTTTCAGAGTTCCTCTTAAAAGAGGTGCCACTGAGAATGGAGAGCAGTGCTCCAGGTGTGATGGGACAAGTCCTGTTCCACAGTCAGGACAGCACCTGTCTGCTGCGTGAAGTAACATTAGCAGCCCCACCCCACTGTTGGTGCATATAAATCTTGGGGTTCGTTGAAATCAGATTTTTTTTTTCATATAAGGTACTATTAAGGCAGCGTCCCCTCCTCTCTAATTGTGTACTTGACTCTTTAAATCTAAACACAGATACATGTGTATCTCTATTAAATGTCATATTCTTCTTTTTGATCCATTTGTTCTAGCTCAGTCATTTCAAATATTATTTCTGTCATTTGTCCCATTATATATCTCTCTTGGCATTGTGTCATTTGCAAACTTGGTAGATATGTCTTCTTTATCGTTCAAGTTATTGATAAAAATAATGTTGAATACCAAGATATTGGAGAGAGAGAGGGAGCCAAAGCCAGCAAGCCCTGAAGTATTCCCTTGGAGATCCCTTTTCCCAATGACACAGGTTTAAAATTCTTGGAGAAAGATTATTCTATAAATTAAAAATATTTTATTATCCAGTCCATATTTTATCTTATTATCTTACAAGAGATTTCACAGAGGGCTTTTTTGAAATCAGTATGTAATTTCTAACACATTCCTCTGATCCACCAATGTAGTAATTTTATCTAAATAGGAAGTGACATCTATTTGGTGTCTTATTCTCGGTGAACCCACCTTGGCTCCTAATAATTGCTAATCAAAAACCATCTATTTTACTTACCCTGTAAGATCTTGAGTGTCCATATTTGCAGATTGATTCATTGTCTGCATCTTTAGTGACAATTTTATTCTTAGGTCGGTTTAGTCAGCTTCCAAATGGAAAAGGTTGGGTGTGTATTAATGGAAGAGCTTGCTCATGGTAAAGTACTCTGTACAATGATCTTTGAAGACAAATCAGCATATCTTGTCATATCAATTTATAAACTAGAACTAATTTAATGGTAATGTCAGCATACATCCCCAACATCTAGTAATCAAGAATGGAATGAATGAAAAAGATAAGGGGGGAAACCAGTGTACCTTTCAAAGAACTCCTTCCTGATTCCTTGTAGTATGTCAAAATTTTATAGAAGTACAGTGGAAATTTAGGAGTTCTGTATTGAAGTTTCCCCTAGTTTACAGAAGGATGTAGACAAGGGAGATGGGGGTGGAGCCCCAGAACTTAGGTACCTAAAGGGTCTGGATGGGTAATGTCAATGCACAAAGGTGGCCAAGTATGAGAAGTGAGAGACATAGGGACTGTGCCAGGCCCTGGCTAAAAGAGGCAGCCACGACTTAGCTCTGGCCATTTGTTGTTGTCCAGGCCGGCTGTTGCCAGGTCTTCTGATTCTATGAGACACTAGACATCAGGATTTTTATGTGAAATTTCCTGCTATTCAAATAATGGCGAGTAAATTTAAATCTTTAAAAGTATTGATCAGGACAAAACATGTTTACAGACCACCAGCTTGCAACCTCAGTCTTCAGATATGGCCTAGAGCTGTGAAATTGCAGGCAAAAGAAAAAAAAAAGAAGAAAAGAAAAGGAAGAAAGAAAGAAAAGAAAAAGAAAAACATACACCCAAGGAATGAAACTGTCTCTTTCCCCTTCCCACCAACCAAGTTCTACTCCCTTTTACATGAAGAATCTGAAAAAGTCAGGGGTGTTAGTGTCGCCTCCTTTCTCTACTATCCCTCAGGTTGTGGCAGCCTTTGGTGGTTGGTCACTATTGGTTCCCCATGCTAGATAAATCTTAACGTTATAAAGCAGAAAAAGGATTGCTTCATTGGGTAAAAGTCACTTAGGAATTTTTCACTGTAATTCAGTAGGGAGGAGTCTCACTCAACACTAAGTCTTAAGTCTCTGGTTTTAGAAATCTGCCACATCTCGTGTTTGATTTAGAAGTATAAAAGAGTAGTTTTAAAGTTTTTATTTAAGCAAAAAGTTTCATTAAATGTCTGCAAAGAAATTAATAGATGGGTATTGGTACATACATGTTGATCTCAAATTTAATGTCTTGTTTTAGTGTGCTTGTTAACATGTTGGTTGTTGAAATCAATCACTTCCAGAGATAGTACACGTTTGAGGCCACATTCTCCCTTTACCTCCCTCTGCCTCTGTGATTGATTCACTCAAATACCTAAGTACCTGCTTTAGATAGGATCCTGTTGTGAGCTGGGGCAGAATATGAAGATGAAGATGAAGAAGATAAGGACCTGCCTTTAAGTGCCTTTCTAAATACTATGTTATTAAAAAATTTTTCCTTAGGGGCGCCTGGGTGGCTCAGTCGTTGGGCGTCTGCCTTCGGCTCAGGTCACGATCCCAGGGTCCTGGGATCGAGCCCCGCATCGGGCTCCCTGCTCGGCGGGAAGCCTGCTTCTCCCTCTCCCACTCCCCCTGCTTGTGTTCCCTCTCTCGCTGTCTCTCTCTCTCTCAAATAAATAAATAAAATCTTTTAAAAAAATTTTTTTTCCCCTTAAACTTTGGTTGTTTTCAGTAACCTTAGTTCCTCAGGCTATAAAAGGAAGTGCTATAACCTGATCATGAGAGGATTTAAGCCTAATAATTTATATTTAGGCAGTTCCCACAGATTCATTTCTGAGATTATCCATTTTTTCCCTAGCTATCTGTCTTTGACCAGTAAATATTGTCCCCCCTTTTTTTGAGCTTATTTGCTGACATTACATATTTTAAGTAGAGAGTAGTAATAATTTTTTCTTTTTAATGTAATTGAATATATATTTATTTCAAGATGTGAGAAAAGTGTTAAACTATGTATCTGACATGTAACTTTGTTCTCTAGTAATTATGGTCTCACCCTTGTGATCTGAACAGGTTTGTTTTTCTTTAGAACAGTTTATGAATAACTGGAATTATTTGAATTTAAATACATTTGGAAGATGATTAATATCTGGTCAGATGATTTTAATCTTTGGCAATGCTATTACACTATTTCAAATAGTGTAAATTATGGCACTGGGAGAATATACCTTCTGATTATATTTTAAATTACCTTTTTGATCTGAAAGTGTTAAAATGGTTATGTAGGAGTAAGCTGGATTGTTGGTTTGAACTACCCAGGGTTTTAGTTATCAAGTATTTATTATTCTGACTTCAGAAGACTCCTACTTTGCATGACGATTTTACTGTACCGTAGTGTGCTGTGGACTTTAATTTGTCCTTTCCTTTAGGTGTTCATTTTAATTTGTATGTCTGTGTCACTTAGTCATTTTTTAACTTCTCTCAGTGCCTATCCCAGCTAATTTCTGTGTGTAATCCTCCCACTTCTCCTAACCTATAACTTAATCAAAATTGCTTATTTTATAATTTA